GCACTAAAACATTTTTTTTTTTTTTTTTTTTTTTTAGTAGATTTTTGTATGAGGAGACTGAATTAACTAAATTACGTTGTCAAAATGTAATTTAAAGAAAAAAATGGGAGTGATTTGGTTTGAATGTTATTGTCTGGTTACAAATGCTTCAGTGTTGCCAGTGATCTTGAAGATAAATCCAGAATTACAAAATGGATCCTTCCATGTTAATTCAGAATTATTAAAGTTGTAAAAATATAAATGCCATAAGATAATTGGTGTTTTTTTGCTTGTAAGATGATTATAATCACCTAGAAAGTAATGTAATTTTTCAATAAAATAAAATACTTTTATAGATACTTTTTTTTCAATCATTAAAATAAATGCAAAATAAGCTTTAAAACAAGAATTTATTAAAACTTCTTCAAATAAAGGAAAACTATAGTTCAATTACAACCTTCCTTTTTAACAAAGTATAAACAATCTAGTAACAAATGTGTTTTAGCAGATTCTTGAGAGACATCCATTATAAATTAACTTGTTTAGGATAATGAGGTTGGCCTGATGACTGTATGGTAATGTCTGTCTGCTGCTGCTGTGGGAATTTGGTTAGAGCTTTATTTTGAGCCCGGTAGTTTATTTAAAGCAGTACGGGTTGGGCCATTGTTTTCTATGTTCTCATTCATGCTGGTTGGGTCTCTTCTCTTCTGGAATAATGCCTGCTTCTTAACGGGAACTGGCTGCTCTTAGTCATAATATATTGGTAACCCTTATTAAGTAATCGTAATACTTGTGAAGGGATAATGAGTAAATGACTGAATTATTGATAATTCTAAGTATAAATTGATTACATATCAGTGGATATCAGATTGTAAATATTGAAATTATCATTTATAAAAACAAATTTTTGTAATTGTATTAGATGATTTGTAAATTGATTGGCTTGCAAAAGGAAATTATATTAAATATACAAATGTTTATTTTATTTTGTGATAATTTATAGTGTCTCATTATTAATAATACAAATGAAATTAAATTGAATCCATAAGAGAGAGAGAATAAATGCCAGAAAGTCTTTTATAAAGAAAATAGTTGTAAGTGGAATTTTAAAGATCATGCATATATTTAAATGTATTTGGACTGGATTTGCTTTACCTTGCAAGTCTCTATTGATTTTAAAAATTAATATATTTTATAATTGATGATCATGTTACTTGATAGAAGTGACCAAACTTTTCAAGTTCAGGCCAAAAATAATATATATTCTAAATGTACAAAAAAACAAGGCCTGTTTCTATCGTAAGTCATGTATTGAGTATGTGGGCCTGGGTTGGATTAGGCACCACTGCAGATAAATGGTGAGGATACAGTGCTTGATTATTTTTTAAAATTTAAAAGGATAAGAATAAACTTAAATGGTAAATCTAATTTGTGAGCTGTATTTAAAATTCATTTCATTGTTACTTGTTTATAAAGAAATGTAATTTTGTTTCATGTAGGATGAATTATACAGATCTGTATAACATGTTCATAAGCTTACTTCTGTAATTATATATTTTTAAATTGAAATAACTACAGATATGCATATCAGAAACATAAGAGTGTATAAGTGTAGATACAGTAAATTTTTTTGATCATCTCTGATTTGTGCCCACTTCCAAAGTGTTTGATTCCTTCTATACAAATCTATCTCTGAAATGCAACCATTTGCACAAATCTATGCATGCAGTTACTTTTCATTAAATGCAATTTCTTTCCATATGGAATTGCTTTCTTTGTTTCCAGGTAGTTGCTAATTAAGCGGTCCTTCAAGAACAAAGATTGGGAGCCTCTCTACATTATGTTTTGACTTATCTAATAGTAGCTAGAGAGGTATGAGATACAATTGCAACTATAAAATTGTTTTATTTTCTACTTCCTGGGTTTTAAGTGTATGCCTCACATGCCTAATGGGCATTATTTTTATTGAATGCTATTGATTTTCAGTAATCAATGAAATGTAACTTCTCTACAATAACAACTAGGATGGTTGGTGATTGCTGGATTTGTTAACAGAACTGTGAACAACCATAGATTCCAGCATAAATTCTTTGATTAATAATTGATGTTTGATCTTGTTTAGCTACATTACTTCAAACATGAAAGACAGTCACTGAATATCTGATATTCAGAATTGATTTTGATTTGTTAAATCAAGCTATTAAGTGAAATTTTAATAGTAGCCTTATTAACAAACTACTATTGAAACTGTCTTAAGATATTTTAAATAATTAAACTAAAGTTTTCAATAAATAGTTTTATCTTTATAAATTGCAAATCCTGTAATACTGCATGTTGAAGTAAAGATTATAAATTAGTTTTTTGCCCACCTACCTTAATCTGCTAAATGCTTCATCATAAACCATAAACATTTACCATAATGGTGCTACTATTACAGATATAGAACTAAATGAATCTGTTTAGATGAGGAGATAGCAGCAGTAGCAACAACAATGATACCAAGCATTAGTGAGGCAGGTCATATGATGCACTCATGATGGTAGTTGTGTGTTCAGACAAACAGCATATTTCTGCTTTCTTATGATGAAAACTTGATACTGAAGTCTTCAGCATTATAAGAGATCTTACTACTAAAAATTATTTAAATTAAAATATGATACAAAAGTAAATTGGATGTATTTTGTGTTGTAGGATAAAATAGCATGACATTATTATTACAGCAGCTCTGCACAAGAATATTATGCTGTTTCAGAAAATATTGGTTATTTGATAACTGTTATTAATTTGGTTCAAAAGAATGTTATATTATTATTTAATATTTATTATTTTCAGATAATGACTAGTAAATACTGGTTAACTTTAAATGAACTATCATCACNACAGGATATTAGTTCCTGCACTGTATTGCATATTACTGCACAATAAAGTATGTTTTTGTTTTATGGTTGCAATCATATATCTGTCTAGCAATGACGATGTCATATACCAATTTTTATTCAAATCCAACAAGTCCTTCATGGTGCGTTATTTTTTTTGTCGTCCAGTGTATATACACTAATATTATAAAGAGGTAATGTTTGTAAGTATGTATGTATGTAAGTTTGTTTGCAGCAGGTAATCTCCGAAACTACTCATCCAATTTCAAAAATTCTTTTACCAATATTTAGAATGGAACCTCAGGGTGGGCATAGGCTGTATATTATTCCATTAAACATTCATATAAATTAAAATATATAATCTAGGTTAAGGCTTTTATGTCCAACAGATGGTGCTACGAGTATGGCGCCCTAAGTTTGCTTTTCTGTGAGGCATTACTCTTTTCTGTGAAAATTGAACTAAAGCAGATCATCTTCTATCTAATTATATAAATAAAAATGTAATGTTCGTTTGTTCCTACCGATTCCTTTGAAATTTTGACACAACGCTGCATTTGAATACGCACGTGTTTTTATATAATATACGTGTCGAAATTCCCCCCACTGAAGGGAGATGGTTAGGATTAAGGTTTACTGTAAAGAACTCTGCTTCTATTTATACTATTTTAGATGCAGTTTTTTGCGTTTTAATAGGGTACATCAACAGAATGTACACCAAGAAGAAATTTTTCGAAAAATTCCCCCCACCGGGAAGTGTTATAAATTTATAATAGATACATTTTGAGCCACAATAACGCGTGGCGGGGTCTGCTAGTATATATATAGATAATATATTTTTTCCATTTTATTTATTAACTTCTTAGTAGTGTAAGAAAGAGATTTCTCTACTACAGTTTCAGTTTATATATATATATATATTTAATTTTTTTAAGTCTCCTACTTTTTAAAAGAATGTTTGATGATTTGTTAAATGTCTAATTTAATTACCAATGTAAACTAAAACAGGTTTACAGGTTTGGCTTAAATGATTTAAAAAATTTTTTTTTTGTAATTTCTGAAAAAATTTCAATGAACTCTAGGATTAGTTTGTCAAATAGAGCTGAGCACAATATGAATTTTAAAAACTGTTTCTTGTCTCATTGTGAATTTAGATTTTTTTTTATATATAACATTTTGTTTTACAGATTTAACAATGTATTGTAAGTATCATGTCTTTACATGAAGATGACCTAAAATTAGAAATTCTTATTAATCTGAAAATTACTTACATATAAGCATACATAGTTACTGTCTAAATCAGGGGTGTCCAACCTTTTTGTTTCTCTGGGCCGCATTGGAAGAAGTCAAGGAGTTCTGGGCCACAAGTATATATAATATGTACTTGTGGTCCAATATACAAGTATATTTAAGGATTAACATGCCTAGACTATAATAATAAGTATTAAAACTTTATCACGAAACAGGATATTTTAAAAAATTACTTCTACAGACATTTTCAATTTGTACTTAGAAATAGATATATGAATTTATTTGAAAAAATGCAAATATTTAGTTTATTTCAGTGGTTCTCAACTGGGGGTACATGTACCCCTAGGGGTACGAGTGTAAATCGAAGGGGTACATCTAACTTTCATTATAAAATGGCNATCGAAACAACTTAAGCGAAACTATTAATAAATAAATATCGTATTAATAGAAACATTTATTAATTTTTTAAATATTAAATTTTTTGTGAAATTCTAGAAATTTTAATAGATTAATATTCAATCGCGTAATATTTTCTATTACATTAAATGAATTAATATTCTTCTAATCATTAGAATTATTAATGTTTCATCAAAAATTAAAATAAAAGCGACTTTACGTAATTATTATACTGTATAATAATATTTTCTTCATCAATTCCGTTACCATAGCAACATCCGAAGATTCTCGAAGTTTTTACTAAATTATTATATATATATTTTTTTTAACGACCCATAATTAACACATATATATTTTTTAAGACAACAATAAGTAATTAATTCGTTTAAAAATTAATAATACAAATAAAAATAATTAATATACCGTCAACAGAATTTTAACTTTTATATCCATACATTCTAGAAAAAAGACCAAACGATAAATCGTGATTACATTTAGCGCCGTTAGGTGTCTTTTCGACAGTAACTATAGCAACCGGCAACTGCATTCTAGAAGGTTCTAGAAAGAAGTAGTGAGTTATAAGTACTTCATACAAGAATTTAATTCATTTTTAATTCTTCGTTAACATTAAGATAACGGGGAAAGAAAGATGTCAGTTATCGGTATAGATTTCGGCAACGAAAATTGTTTCATCGCAGTAGCAAGAGCTGGCGGAATTGAGACTATAGCAAATGAATATAGTCAAAGAGTTACACCGTAAGTTAACCCTTTTTAAAACCTTAATAGGTAAAATGGTGCTATGACTTTGTTTCCAGCCACACTTACAAACATACGATTTATTAAAGACGACTGGCCGAATGTAAAAGTTCTGAGTGGGTGTATAACTATTTCTCGCCATTCCTAAATGGTAAAATGCCCTTTCTTGTTTCGTCGTTTGCTCGACAAATCTTTTCTTTATCTAGTCCTCATTCTAGAAAAATTCTATAAAACGGCAGCGATGACGTATTAGTAGGAAAAAATTCGTCTTCTGTTCGAAAACGAACGCGAAACGACTTTGTTCCAGAAGTGAAAGCGTAAACTAAACGGCACTAAAACATTTTTTTTTTTTTTTTTTTTTGTTAAGTAGATTTTTGTATGAGGAGACTGAATTAACTAAATTACGTTGTCAAAATGTAATTTAAAGAAAAAAATGGGAGTGATTTGGTTTGAATGTTATTGTCTGGTTACAAATGCTTCAGTGTTGCCAGTGATCTTGAAGATAAATCCAGAATTACAAAATGGATCCTTCCATGTTAATTCAGAATTATTAAAGTTGTAAAAATATAAATGCCATAAGATAATTGGTGTTTTTTTGCTTGTAAGATGATTATAATCACCTAGAAAGTAATGTAATTTTTCAATAAAATAAAATACTTTTATAGATACTTTTTTTTCAATCATTAAAATAAATGCAAAATAAGCTTTAAAACAAGAATTTATTAAAACTTCTTCAAATAAAGGAAAACTATAGTTCAATTACAACCTTCCTTTTTAACAAAGTATAAACAATCTAGTAACAAATGTGTTTTAGCAGATTCTTGAGAGACATCCATTATAAATTAACTTGTTTAGGATAATGAGGTTGGCCTGATGACTGTATGGTAATGTCTGTCTGCTGCTGCTGTGGGAATTTGGTTAGAGCTTTATTTTGAGCCCGGTAGTTTATTTAAAGCAGTACGGGTTGGGCCATTGTTTTCTATGTTCTCATTCATGCTGGTTGGGTCTCTTCTCTTCTGGAATAATGCCTGCTTCTTAACGGGAACTGGCTGCTCTTAGTCATAATATATTGGTAACCCTTATTAAGTAATCGTAATACTTGTGAAGGGATAATGAGTAAATGACTGAATTATTGATAATTCTAAGTATAAATTGATTACATATCAGTGGATATCAGATTGTAAATATTGAAATTATCATTTATAAAAACAAATTTTTGTAATTGTATTAGATGATTTGTAAATTGATTGGCTTGCAAAAGGAAATTATATTAAATATACAAATGTTTATTTTATTTTGTGATAATTTATAGTGTCTCATTATTAATAATACAAATGAAATTAAATTGAATCCATAAGAGAGAGAGAATAAATGCCAGAAAGTCTTTTATAAAGAAAATAGTTGTAAGTGGAATTTTAAAGATCATGCATATATTTAAATGTATTTGGACTGGATTTGCTTTACCTTGCAAGTCTCTATTGATTTTAAAAATTAATATATTTTATAATTGATGATCATGTTACTTGATAGAAGTGACCAAACTTTTCAAGTTCAGGCCAAAAATAATATATATTCTAAATGTACAAAAAAACAAGGCCTGTTTCTATCGTAAGTCATGTATTGAGTATGTGGGCCTGGGTTGGATTAGGCACCACTGCAGATAAATGGTGAGGATACAGTGCTTGATTATTTTTTAAAATTTAAAAGGATAAGAATAAACTTAAATGGTAAATCTAATTTGTGAGCTGTATTTAAAATTCATTTCATTGTTACTTGTTTATAAAGAAATGTAATTTTGTTTCATGTAGGATGAATTATACAGATCTGTATAACATGTTCATAAGCTTACTTCTGTAATTATATATTTTTAAATTGAAATAACTACAGATATGCATATCAGAAACATAAGAGTGTATAAGTGTAGATACAGTAAATTTTTTTGATCATCTCTGATTTGTGCCCACTTCCAAAGTGTTTGATTCCTTCTATACAAATCTATCTCTGAAATGCAACCATTTGCACAAATCTATGCATGCAGTTACTTTTCATTAAATGCAATTTCTTTCCATATGGAATTGCTTTCTTTGTTTCCAGGTAGTTGCTAATTAAGCGGTCCTTCAAGAACAAAGATTGGGAGCCTCTCTACATTATGTTTTGACTTATCTAATAGTAGCTAGAGAGGTATGAGATACAATTGCAACTATAAAATTGTTTTATTTTCTACTTCCTGGGTTTTAAGTGTATGCCTCACATGCCTAATGGGCATTATTTTTATTGAATGCTATTGATTTTCAGTAATCAATGAAATGTAACTTCTCTACAATAACAACTAGGATGGTTGGTGATTGCTGGATTTGTTAACAGAACTGTGAACAACCATAGATTCCAGCATAAATTCTTTGATTAATAATTGATGTTTGATCTTGTTTAGCTACATTACTTCAAACATGAAAGACAGTCACTGAATATCTGATATTCAGAATTGATTTTGATTTGTTAAATCAAGCTATTAAGTGAAATTTTAATAGTAGCCTTATTAACAAACTACTATTGAAACTGTCTTAAGATATTTTAAATAATTAAACTAAAGTTTTCAATAAATAGTTTTATCTTTATAAATTGCAAATCCTGTAATACTGCATGTTGAAGTAAAGATTATAAATTAGTTTTTTGCCCACCTACCTTAATCTGCTAAATGCTTCATCATAAACCATAAACATTTACCATAATGGTGCTACTATTACAGATATAGAACTAAATGAATCTGTTTAGATGAGGAGATAGCAGCAGTAGCAACAACAATGATACCAAGCATTAGTGAGGCAGGTCATATGATGCACTCATGATGGTAGTTGTGTGTTCAGACAAACAGCATATTTCTGCTTTCTTATGATGAAAACTTGATACTGAAGTCTTCAGCATTATAAGAGATCTTACTACTAAAAATTATTTAAATTAAAATATGATACAAAAGTAAATTGGATGTATTTTGTGTTGTAGGATAAAATAGCATGACATTATTATTACAGCAGCTCTGCACAAGAATATTATGCTGTTTCAGAAAATATTGGTTATTTGATAACTGTTATTAATTTGGTTCAAAAGAATGTTATATTATTATTTAATATTTATTATTTTCAGATAATGACTAGTAAATACTGGTTAACTTTAAATGAACTATCATCACAAAAATCAGAAGACCGTGAAGATGTCCATTTAATATGGAGGAAAATGTTTGCTAAAATGACTTTACCACTTAAGCTGGTTTTTGTAATGGTAGTTTATTTTAAATGGTAATATTGCCATATTTAATTTTTTGAATATTTTCTATAAATTTTGTTAATGATAAAATACAAAATATTACTTTTGCTTTTTGAAACACTTCAGATTAAGTCTTTCATTTTGATATAAGCTATTCTTGTGTTGTATTTTTTAAGTCAAGCTGTTCTACAAATGTTTTGTCTTAATCCGCAAAACAAAAGTTTGGACATTAATCTTCTGGATCAGTTACAAGATGTTATTACTAGATTAAAAAAATTGTTTTGTTGATCATTTAGTTCAATTCTCAGCTTCTATGAGACTGCAGTACATCATTCCTGTATTTTTTATTATGCAGCATTAAAATCAATATATTCAAAACTCAATAAGTAATTCCATGTTAACTATTCTCTTGAATAAACTAATAAACTAGTTGTTGTTTGAAATTTTTTCCTTTAATATGCTATTTGTAACATGAAGTGTTTTTTAATAACAAGACTTCATTCTGTAAAGCAAATGTTATTGTATTGAATATAGTAGTAAACATGGAATTTTCTATGAGTAAAGTAATATGTTGTTGTATATTGGAATAAATTTACAGTAAAAACTTTAGGTCAACAATTGATCAGTCGTGTTTTTTTGAAATGACAAATTTTCAAATACAAAATGGTGGGTTTATATATATCTTGCACACTTACTTCCTTTTGTAGCACATTTCAATTAGGAAAATTTTAAATGCAGTATCCCGTATACTGCATTTAAATTACTTTTTTCCGGAAAACATTAAATGCATTATTATGGCTGAGTTCATACAGTTATTAAATTACAGTTTATAGGTGTACAGTTGCGATCAAACATGATATTTTACTAATTATTTCATGATTTGTCCCTCAACTCAACAAATAAAATCATAAATTAAATTTGGCTTGATCTGTTTAGTACAATCGTCTGATAGATAAAGTCAAAACTGTTAGATGTTTTTGTTTTTACTTCAGAAAAAATTGTTTTTAATTATGTACAACTGAATTGTATTTCTTTTCCAAAATTTACAAATTTATTTGCAGTAATATTAAAACTAAACTCTAACACTGCTGATAAAATTCAAATTCCTATGCTTTATTGGAGCATTTGAGTTAACAAAACTTCCATTGCTCAATTTCTTGCACTTAATTGCCTGAAAGTGATTAATTTCAGTTAAATAATAGTTACTTGACTGTTGTGCCCCAATAGTTGGATTTTATTTGCAACTAGCTGCAAGGACCTGCTTTGCTCGGTTTTTATTTGTATGTAATATATAAAAGACTGTTTTTCTAAGTAATCTAGAATCTAACTGCAAGGACCCGCTTCGCTGGGCAAAAAGTAACGATAGTGAAGATTAAGATTATTACATTATAGCCAATCTTACCCGTTTTCACAGAATGCAAGAATTAGATGACCCGTTTTCAGACTAATTAGAGAATTTTTATATGAGTAAAAATATGTTCGATTTCCCGCAAAAAACACCTGTAAATCTTGCATGCCACTTTATATTAACACTTTCTTTGTTACTCAACACTTCCATTGTTACACATCTTCGAAGTCAACCACTTGCAACCCCATATCTCCCACATCCTTATAGCACAGAATGCAAGAATTAGGTCCCCCGTTTCCAGACTAATTAGAGAATTTTTACGTCCAAACGAACTATTTTCAATTTGATCAATTTTCTGGAACGTATACAATCGTTCTATAATTGAACCAAT